TGCAGCCCAATGTTGGGTATTGATGAAAACAACATTTGCATAAACAAGGACCTGTTTTCAAGAATTCAAACCTCTGGGTTGTCAAACTGTTCAACTGGGTGAAGGTTACAACAACGATTCAACCTGATAATTAATTTCTTTATTTTCCTTTTGTGTTTGAAATAAAAGCATTGCCAGGCTGCCATCAGGACCCACAGACTTCAGAGTGAGTGAGTGAGTTGGGTTTTACGCCACTTTTAACAGTATTGCAGTCATATCAAGGCATGTCAGCTTAATGTGGGAGGAAAGCCAGAAGTGATGCAGGTCTCAGACGTTTACCACTTCGGGGAAACCCACGAGCATGGTGCTGACAAACCTAGAAACATAATCGGGGCGAACCGGGATTCGAACCCACAATCATAGGTTTCTGGCGTGCCCAAGGGCGCAACTCTGCACAGCGAATTGCAGCACCTTAGACGACTGGGCCACCCGTGCCCCCCCACAGACTTTAGAAGCTGAGGCCTGACTAGACACTTCTGGTCCTCACTTAAAAAACTGCGGTTACTGTGACAAAAACATCAACACGTAAATTTACTGTAGGCCATAAGGACACTTACAAATTTGAAACATCAGCAGAGCTCCAGATAAACTGCGTATCTAGGTATAATACACATCAGAAATGCAGAAATATGCAGTAAAATAAAATCCAAGCGTATCAAATACGCAACGAATATTACAGATACGCTACAACTTGTGCGTATCATCAAAATATTGCGAAGTAACCCCGCATATTCAATTAGCAAATCAGCAACTTATTTTGAAATTATAAACGGGCATTCCGTCAACCTTGCCAAACTTCACGCTCTCGAACCCACACGACACCAGTTTGCAGGGACTAGATGAATAGTGTTTTTAAATATTTAACTTAAATACCCAGTAAAAACTAGTGGGTAACAGAAATTTGAATACCCAGATAGAATTATTGATACCCAATGATTTTAAAACGCATGGGTAAAATACCAACAACACCAAAAGCTTATCTGGAGCTCTGCATCAGGCCATCACAAGATCTATTTGCCACCATTAGCCATCATCACACACATTTTCTATGAACATGGCTGCAAGAGAGACAAGATGTCATTATGGAATGCAATGACATCATCAAATAATAAATGACATCGCATACTTCTAACAGATAAACCCCTTGATAAGCACGATACAAAGAAAAATCAACAAAAAGCAAAATTTTTGCGACAAATATTTATAAAAAGGCACATGTACATGATTTAAGGCAATACAAAATTACTACATTTTCAACCCTACTCGTCTCACAACCAAACACCAGCCTCACATCATCATATTGGAAGTTCAAATAAATTCATCTTATTTCACACTTTCTAATACTCCTACAAAAACAAACACCAACATCGGAACATGATAAAAATGATATCGTATATCGCTGTGTATAAGGCGACCCCACGTATGAGACGACCCCCCTGTACACGCCTTAAAAATCAACCCAAAATCCTATACTCCGTGTGTAAGGCGACCTGGAATGAAACACATCACAAGTCTGACTGATATACCGGTAGAAGATTTAACGTGCTCTTGCCGACTGTAGCGTATTTCGCACACGGACATCACAAATTAGTTAGTTAGTTACTTTGGAGATTTAATGTGCGTATTTCGCACACATCACAAGTGCGCACACAAACCTTATATATGCAATATATATGGAAAGGTAACTGATATCAAATATCAATTTATGCAAACAAGTCACAATGCAGCCATTATATGTCACAAGCATGACTGAAGAACTTCCCTACATGGAAGTCTGGTGGAGGTGACAGACACTTCATCAAGACACGTGACAGTTTGATATTTCACCCACACAGAGTGTTACTGATTCATGTGACCTTCAGCTTGGACCAAAATACTTCACTGAAGCAACCCTGCATCACAATGTTTTATGCCACGATTGTGTTGGGTATTGATAAAACAACATTTGCATAAACAAGACCATGTTTTCAAAGAATTCAAACGAGCTATGAATGCCATAACCTTTGGGTTGTCAAACTGGGTGCAGGTTACAAAAACGATTCAGGCTGGTATTAAATTTCTTGATGTTCCCTTTGATATGGGAACGCTATTTCTTATAAATATCAACATGAAATGATGTTATCAATCGCTTCTGATACGATCAATGGGCTTATTGAAGATTTGGGTAGTTTCTGTTGTTGACCAAATAAAGTCTTTTGATGCTAAATATGCAGCTAGTTCCATATAAATATCTGAATTGTATTGATATTTGTGCTGATTTGGTCAATAGTTGAACTACAAAGGCTATTACCCGCCCTTATCATTTAATGGCCTCACTGTTACATTCCTCATTACCGTAGTCCCAATCCCAGGACTTACCTGCAAATTTAAACAAATGCCGATGGCAGGCCAACTGGCAAAATAATTTTTTTTTCAAAATTGAGAATCAATCCTTATTGCCTTCCGTTCAGAGGCACTTCTCAATGGAGTAATGTTAAACTAATCATTGAAGACGGGAAAGACCTGCTATCAGCGAGAAACAAGTGAAAAGACCCGCAATTACAACCAACCTAGGGCAGAGACTGGGAACACCTACACAAACCTGTAATCATTAAAGCTCCACATGTTGTACCCGAATCGATGATGGACAAATTACTTGAACTACAAACGTTTGTGAACTGAATTTTTTAACTTAAATTGTTGGTACCCTAATAATTGTTGCCTAATGGCAAGTGCCCAAAGTAATGGTACCCTACTTGTGGCCTAACTGTATGCTCCCACTTGTGGGTACCCTACTTGTGGCCTAACTGTACACTCCCACTTGTGGGTACCCTACTTGTGGCCTAACTGTACACTCCCACTTGTGGGTACCCTACTTGTGGCCTAACTGTACACTCCCACTTGTGGGTACCCTACTCGTGGCCTAACTGTATGCTCCCACTTGTGGGTACCCTACTTGTGGCCTAACTGTACACTCCCACTTGTGGGTACCCTACTTGTGGCCTAACTGTACACTCCCACGTGTGGGTACCCTACTTGTGGCCTAACTGTACACTCCCACTTGTGGGTACCCTACTTGTGGCCTAACTGTATGCTCCCACTTGTGGGTACCCTACTTGTGGCCTAACTGTACACTCCAAAATGTGGGTACCCTACTTGTGGCCTAACTGTATGCTCCCACTTTAGGGTACCCTACTTGTGGCCTAACTGTATGCTCCCACTTGTGGGTACCCTACTTGTGGCCTAACTGTACACTCCCACTTGCGGGTACCCTTCTTGTGGCCTAACTGTATGCTCCCACTTGTGGGTACCCTACTTGTGGCCTAACTGTACACTCCAAAATGTGGGTACCCTACTTGTGGCCTAACTGTACACTCCCACTTGTGGGTACCCTACTTGTGGCCTAACTGTACACTCCCACTTGTGGGTACCCTACTTGTGGTCTAACTGTACACTCCCACTTGCGGGTACCCTACTTGAGGCCTAACTGTATGCTCCCACTTGCAGGTACCCTACTTGTGGCCTAACTGTACACTCCCACTTACAGGTACCCTACTTGTGGCCTAACTGTACACTCCCACTTGCAGGTACCCTACTTGTGGCCTAACTGTACACTCCCACTTGCAGGTACCCTACTTAAGGCCTAACTGTACACTCCCACTTGTGGGTACCCTACTTGTGGCCTAACTGTACACTCCCACTTGTGGGTACCCTACTTGTGGCCTAACTGTACACTCCCACTTGTGGGTACCCTACTTGTGGCCTAACTGTACACTCCCACTTGCAGGTACCCTACTTAAGGCCTAACTGTACACTCCCACTTGTGGTTACCCTACTTGTGGCCTAACTGTACACTCCCACTTGTGGGTACCCTACTTGTGGCCTAACTGTACACTCCCACTTGCAGGTACCCTACTTAAGGCCTAACTGTACACTCCCACTTGCAGGTACCCTACTTGTGGCCTAACTGTACACTCCCACTTACAGGTACCCTACTTGTGGCCTAACTGTACACTCCCACTTGCAGGTACCCTACTTGTGGCCTAACTGTACACTCCCACTTGCAGGTACCCTACTTAAGGCCTAACTGTACACTCCCACTTGTGGGTACCCTACTTGTGGCCTAACTGTACACTCCCACTTGTGGGTACCCTACTTGTGGCCTAACTGTACACTCCCACTTGTTGGTACCCTACTTGTGGCCTAACTGTACACTCCCACTTGCAGGTACCCTACTTAAGGCCTAACTGTACACTCCCACTTGTGGGTACCCTACTTGTGGCCTAACTGTACACTCCCACTTGTGGGTACCCTACTTGTGGCCTAACTGTACACTCCCACTTGCAGGTACCCTACTTAAGGCCTAACTGTACACTCCCACTTGCAGGTACCCTACTTGTGGCCTAACTGTACACTCCCACTTGTGGGTACCCTACTTGTGGCCTAACTGTACACTCCCACTTGTGGGTACCCTACTTGCTATGGCCTTGCACATCCCAGCTGCTGCTTCCAGCAACTCAACATGGACTACACAGCACTACATAATTCAGTGAACCAAGTCATCAACACCGTCACACCACTTACACCACAATACTTGATCAATGGTTACATCACTAAAGAGTGCTAACTTGATAGAAGTTTCCATTAGAAGGATGTCTCTCGGACTACCCTCAACATCTCAAGATGACCACATTGACCTCACGCTGTCTGTCGGTGCAACATCCCTAATTCCTTTATGGATTTATCCAGGATTATAAACTAAGTGCCAGCAAGAGCAAATACCTAAATGAAATACCAGGTCCCAGGACACTACTGTGGTGGTCGGAGTTGATGGGCAGCATCACATAGGATAGAATTGATGTGTCAAATGCTGATAAATGACATGTAACTCTATCTGTGAACTGTTTCTTGTACATACACAAACAAGACATTCATGTTAATAGTCATGGGACGTGAAACTTATCAATGATCTCAACACTCACCTTCGTAAGTACGGATCTTCTTTCTGCGTTTAGTAGGTGTGGGTTTCATGTTGGTGTTGTACAGGTTGTCGAGCACCTCCTGGTGGTGTCGCAACACCCTAGCTGTCTCACTCCAGTTCTCCTGCTCCGACTCCCATGTGTCGCATCTACCACAAACAAACAGCTTTCAACCTCAGCAATAAAATAATGATGTTATTCAGGAGATAAACATATTATGTTTTCTTTGTCATACTCCATCAGCCAATTGTGTTACCTGTAGATACCTGCATAGTTGAATTTAGAACCAAATACACAACCTGAGGTTTCAAATTTGACATTTAGCACCAAATATACAGATTGATACAAGGAGCTATGTTCCATGTCTTTGAGGAATGATGACTTGCTATCAGTCCCAGGTGAGGTGAAGTGAAATAGGGTTTACCATTGCATGCATGTGCATGAGTGTGCATGCGGCTGCTTGTACTAGTCCGGACTAATGCTGATTTTATAGTGTTTGCCCATCGAGATACCATGCTGTACTTTAATAAGAATACCCCACACAGACACAGCATACTGACTCCGAGCTGACCAGTCCTTCTTTTAGCCCCTTAATGCCGAGTGCCATGCAGACATGGTAACAACCTCTTTTAACCTCATTTGCTATCACCCGCCCGAGGTTCGAACCCCCGACCTTCCGCAACCGCGCTGACACTCTACCACTAGACCACGGTGGTCCAATCAGTCCCCAAGTCTGACCTCCCGATCCACTTAGCACTGGCTACAAGGAATCAATTCTACCCCAGATTCACCGTGGACATTTTGCTGTTTAATTTTCTACATCTTTTAATTTTTAATTTTACAAAATTAATACTGCATCACAATTTTTCTAATACAGATTTTTATATAGATATCAGAACATTGATGCTCAGTTGGCAAGCTTGCCATGAAAACCATATTAATAAGCCTAAATTTGTTCGACATGTCATTCTGATCCTCTGTACTTATTCATGTAAATTGAACTTATTTTTGGAGAGAATCTTCAAGTTGTGTTAACTTGAAATTGGTCTTATGAAATACACGAAACTCTTCATATATAACCAGTGATGAAAGAAGAGCTATTCCACCTTGAAAGTGGGTGTCATAACTATGCAACATCAGCAGTTTTGAAAACAGTGTTGACCCTTGTAAATGTAAGCTGGAATTATCACTGTTGTCATGGTCATAGCACACAATACTAGTTTCTGTCAACAGCAAATGTCACTGACAAGATTAACTCAATACATTACAAGCAAGGCCATAGCTACCCACACATATCTATAGCAGCAACTGCCCACACACCTGATAATGCCAGATGTCCACAGGAGTCAGACCGCCTTCTGAGTACTAGCAATGATATACTGAGTACGTTGAAGGCCTATAGTCATGTTGACCTGTGAAGATCCGGGTGAGAATAGGTCTTCAGCAAGTCTTAGGAGGAACCATGTAAGCAGACCCCATATGATCACTACAGTTCCTGAATACCCGTGAAGATCCGGGGTAGAATCGGTCTTCAGCTACCCAAGCTTGTGGTAGAAGGCGACTGATTGTCGTAACAGGTGACTAACGGGATCGGGTTGTCAGGTTTGCAGACTTGGTTGATGCATGTCATCGTATCCCAATTGTGTGGATCGATGCTCATGATGTCAATCAATGGACAGTCTGGTCCAGATTCAATTATTTACAGACCGCTGTCATATAGCTGGAATATTGCTGAGTGTGGTGTTAAACAATAAACAAACAAAGTTATGTCATAATCAGTTGGTTCCCTTTGCTCATGCTACTTAATGTCTGGATGCAAAGTTAATCTGAACCCCGGCCCATCATACCAACAGTTGCTTCCCTGCCTCGCTCTCGGCATTATGGGTCTAAAACAAGGACTGGTCGGCTCAGAGTCAGTATACTGTGTCTGAGCAGGGTATTCATGTTAAACTGCGGCATGGTGTCTCAGTGGGTTGCATCCCTGCCATGAAGCAATTTTGAAAGATTAAGTCTGAGGTGAGTAAGCATATCACCGTATTCACCGTATTAAGAGCCCTGCCCCAATAAGTGCTTCCTGGCCAACTTCTAGATAAACCTGTAGGTAATCTGTTTTAGCACCAACTTCTAAGACCAAAACTTACATGACCGTCTTTTTCTCGTGGAAACATTTATTTACAGAAAACAGCAGCGTAAAAGGGGCAAATAACTACCTAGTAACTATTTTATTAATATTTTTCTTATTCAGTTTCAGCAACATTTGAACTATGAATAGTTCACATCTTTTGCTGAATATAGCACTTGTTTGCTGTTTAACACTAACTCAACAGTACATCAGCCATATGACAGCAGCATGGAACATAAGCAAGACAGCACCAGTGATTGATATTATGAGCAACAAATAATGCCATTGGGGCACGTTCACACCTTATCAACCATGCCACGGAGTCTGACCACGAGCTGTTTCCAGTCTCCCCCTTAAGACCAGCAGAAATATCGGAATCCCCAAGCTTTTGGCAAAATGCCAGCCAAATTGTTGGCGGATACTAGAGAATGGGCTTCCCACATTACACCCATGTAGGGAATGAAACCTGGGCTCTGTGGCATAACAAACTGAAACATTAACCACTTGGCTACCCCACAGCCCCTCATTGAGAGAAGACCGCCTCCTTGGTCTAGTGGTAGAGCGTCCGCCCAGAGAGCGGAAGGTCCGGGGTTCAATCCCCGGCCGCGTCATACCAAAAGACGTTGAAAGATGGTATTTGTTGTAACCCTGTCTGAAACTCGGCATTTGGCGGCTAAAACAAGGACTTGTCGGCTCGGAGTCAGTATACTGTGTCTGAGCGGGGTATTCATGTTAAACTGCGGCATGGTATCTCAGTGAGCTAGCACTATAAATCAGCATCAGTCCGGACTAGTACAAGCAGCCACACAAACACACACACGTACATGCACGTCGCTATATAAGTGCAATAATCTTGGACGCGACGTTAAACCCAATTTCACCTCACCTCACCTCATTGAGAGAAAGCAAACTTTAGAGTTGCTCAACACCATCTCTCCAGATTTTCACACATATGTTCCCCTCCCCTGGCAACGTTCCACAGTTTCCCCTAAGCACATCATGGTGATGCTGAAACTCAATTATGTCTGCTTTGAGGTTTCCTTCACAAGGAAAGTAATCCTATTTGGTGTCCTTCTTTTCTGCTTCCATGAAGTGAGACTGACCTCCATCCCTGACATTCATCCAGTAATGTCTTCTTCATCTCGACATTATCCTGGCAACTCATACTGGTAATGTCATTTTCTCAACACTGGGGCATACTATAACATCAACATCTAGCAAAAGGTTGCCAATGGCCACTGTAAATTGGTATGGATAAGCCTTTGAACATGTTGAAGAAAGCCATTATTTTGATTTTCCCATAGATCTTATCATGCTTATCTAAGCTACAAAATTTTCCATGTTTATAATAATTTTTCCAGTATTCAGGGGTTGGTGATTTTGCTGGAGACACATGCCATTTGAACAATCTAGACCGTTCCTTCTTCTGTATCATTATCATTTGTAAAAAGATTTGTTAGGATAGCACTGTCCATGCTTTGAATCTGGGCCCATCTGAACCAATCTGAACAACTGCAAGTGCAAGTTAATCCCAACTTCTCCAAGGCTCAAATAGGTTTTGGGGTTTATGCATCATTACAAGACCTGTGAAGATCCAGGGTAGAATAGGTCTTAAGCAACCCATGCTTGCTGTAAAAAGCGACTATGCTTGTCGTAAGGGGCAACTAATGGGATTGGGTGGTCAGGCTTGCTGACTTGGTTGATACAGGTGATTGTATCCCAATTGCCTGGTCCAAATAATCCAGTGATTGACATTATGAGCATCGATCCACAAAATTTGAACAACCATGTCAGCGAGCCTGACCACCCGATCCCATTAGTCAACTCTTCGGACAAGCATATTCGCCTTTTGCGGCAAGCATGGGTGGCTGAAGACCTATTCTGACCTAGGTCTTGACAGACTATCTGTATACAAGTCAGTCTTCCTTTCATCCATCATGACAGAACGGAGGTGTCAGCTTTCTTTGCTTCCTCAACATGTATTTCAAGAACATATACCTGAACAAAACAAAGTTAAATAGTAAAGGTATTTGATCAAAGTGCCACTTGGCAACTTGTGTATTTAATGAATTGAAAAACAATCAGATTCATCATTATAACTTGTACAGGGTACACGGTTGGCCAAGCGGTCTGAGGTGTTTCAATTCACCTTGCAGAGTTGCATCCCTTAGGCACGACAGGATCATCTTGGGTTTGTATCCCAGACTATCTGAATATGATAGCACTATACCCGTTTCTGTGGTTCATAAAAGTAGTAAATGTCAATGATCTGTATCACTTCTGACATTCCTCCCACGGTAACAATTGCAAAGCAAAAAGACATAATATAAACTTAGATGCCAGCATTAAACCTAATACACTCACTCACTTATATACTCTGCTGCCATAATGGCCACCTGATCCCCATTCTTGTCATCTCTTTACACAAGCGTGACATTTTGCAATTTCTACAGGAACAATACCTTCCTGAGTGATATCCCCATCAAGTGTTTGAGTGTATTCAGGCAACAAATCACAAAGTGTGAATTTCTCCTTGCCAAATTATCGATTTTTCTCTCCTCCCTGATTGATTTTGACTACGTCCAGATTAGCTGGACATTGGTCAGCGACCAGACTCGGCTTTCTATAATTAAACTGCGGTCTTCACCGCCGATATAATGGCAGTCATTTGTAGAAGCGTCCAATGAAGAACGATGTCCATTCCCACCAATTGTATTTCCATCAAGGCCACCTTGCCCCAACCCCACACCACCATGTTAACCAGTCTGCAGGAAAATAGATTATTATTGATTTACGTATTTCTGCTTACAAGTATGATTTATAACACGATGCCCACAATCGCCATCCCTGATACAACAAAGAACTGAATCTGATTAGCTCAGAAACCATTCAAACTAAAGTGATCCTGGGTCTTAAATTGTTAATTAGAGGTAAAAACTAATATTTGGTCGACTAGTCCTTATAATGATAATATATAGCAAAATCCTTAAAAATGGCTAATATCTACTAGCCCTTATGATACCTTAA